TTGTTTAAAAGACTATTCTTTCCTCCACTAAACAGTCTTGGCACTCTTGTCAAAAATCATTTGATCATATATGGGTGTGTCTATTTCTGGGTGCTCTATTCTATTCCATTTTGTCTTTATGCCAATACCACACTGTTTTGATTACTGTAGCTTTGTAGTAAGTTTTGAAATCAGTAAGTGTGTGAGTCCTCCAGTTTTGTTTTTATTTTTCAAGATTTCTTTTGTCTATTCAGGGTCCCTTGAGATTCCACATTAATTTTAGGATGGGTTTTTCTTTTTCTGCAAAAAATGTCATTGGGATTTTGGTAAAGATTTCATTGAATCTGTAAACTGATTTGGGCAATATTGACATTGTAAAAATATTATGTCTTCCAATCCATGAATATGGGATGTATTTCCATTTATTTATGTCTTTTTAAATTTCTTTCAGAAATGTTTTATAGTTTTCATTGTACAAGTCTTTCACCTGCTTGGTTAAGTTAATTCCTAAGTATTTTATTCTTTTTGATGCTATTGTAAATAGAATTGTTTTTGTAATTTCCATTTCATATTATTCATTGTTCATGTGTAAAAATGCAATTGATTTTTGTGCGTTGACTTTGTATCCTGCTTCTTTGCTGAATTCATTTATTAGTTCTAACAGATCTTTTGGTGGAATCTTTAGGGTTTTCTACGTGTAAGATCATATCATCTGCAAACAGAGAAAATTTTACTTCTTTCTTCCCAGTTTGGGTGCTTTTGTTTCTTTTTCTTGCCTAATTGCTCTTGCTAGAATTTCCAATACTATATTGAATAGAAGTAGTGAGGGCAGGCATCCTTGTCTTATTCCTGATCTCAGAGGGAAAGCTTTCAGTCTTTCACCACTGACTATAATGTTCACTGTGGGTTTTCTATATATGGATTTTATCATGTTGAGGTAGTTTCCTTTTATTCCTAGTTTGTTGAGTGTTTTTTTTTTTTTATCAGGAAAGTGTGTTGAATTTTGTCTAGTGCCATTTCTGCATCAATTGAGATGATCTTGTGGGTTTTTTTCCTTCATTCTGTTGATATGGCATATCACATTGATTGATTTTTGTATGTTAAACCATCCTTGCATTCCAGGAATAAACCCCATTTGGTCATGGTGCATAATCCTTTTAATATGCTGCTGAATTCCATTTGCTAGTATTTTATTGAGGGTTATTGCATGAATGTTCATAAGGGATATTGGGCTGTAGTTTTCTTGTAGTGTCTTTGTCTGGCTTTGGTATTGGGGTAATGTTGGCCTCATAGAGTGAGTCAGGAAGTGTTCACTTCTCTTCAATTTTTGGAAAAAGTTTGAGAAGGATTGGTATTAGTTCTTTAAATGTTTGGTATAATTCACCAGTAAATCCATAAGGTGCAGGTTTTTTTTTTTTTTGCAGAAGGGGGTTGATTTTTGATTTCTGATTCAATCTCTTTACTAGTTATAGATCTATTCAGATTTTCTATTTCTTCATGATTTATTCTTGACAGGTTTTGTATTTCTAGGAATTGGCCATTTCATCTAGCTTATTCAGTTACTTGGCGTACAGTTTTTTATAGTACTCTCTTATAATCCTTTTTATTTCTGTAGAACCAGTAGTAATGTGCCACATTCTTTTTTGTTTTTGGTGAGAGAGATTGGCCATGAGCTAACATCCATTGCCAATTTTCCTCTTTTTGCTGAGGAAGATTGGCCCTGTGCTAACATCTGTGCCCATCTTCCTCTATTTTATGTATGGGATACTGCCACACCATGGCCTGATGAGCAGTGTGTAGGTTGGCACCCGGGATCTGAACCTGTGAATCCCGGGCCACTGAAGTGGAGTGCGTGAACTTAACCACTGTTACACTCTGCCGGCCCCTCATTTCTGATTTTAGTAATTTGAGTCTTCTCTCTTTTTTACTTAGTCCATCTAGATAAATGTTTGTCCATTTTGTTGATCTTTTTAAAGAATCAACTTTTGGTTTCATTGGTTTTCTCTATTTTTCTATTCTTTATTTCATTTATCTCTGCTCTAATCTTTATTATTTCCTTTCTTCTGCTATCTTTGCATTTAGTTTGTTCTGATTTTTTTAGTTCCCTAAGTTGTAAATTTAGGTTGTTGATTTGAGATTTTTCTTGTTTTTTAGTGTAAGCATTTATACCTGTAAATTTCCCCTTAGCACCACTTTCACTGTGTCCCCTAAGTTTTGGTATGTTGTGTTTTTATTTGCATTCATTTTAAGTATTTTCTAATTTCCCTTATGATTTCTCGTTTGATCTATTGGTTGTTTAACAGTGTGTTGTTTAATTTCCATAATTTCATAAGATTTCTGGTTTTCCTTTTGTCATTGATCTAACTTGACTCTGTTTTGGTCAGAGAAGATACTTTGTATTATATCTATTTTTAAAAATGTACTCAGACTTAATTTGTGGCCTAACACATGGTCTATCCTGGAAAATGTCCCATGTGCACTTGAGAAGACTGTGTATTCTGTTGTTGTTGGGTAGAGTGCTCTGTATATGTCTGTTTGATCTAGTTGGTTTATCGTGTTGTTCAAGCTCTCTAATTCCTTACTTATTTCCTGTCTGGTTGTTCTACCCATTATTGTGTGTGGGGCATTGAAGTCTTCAACTATTATTGTAGAATTCTCTATTTCTCCCTTCAATTCTGTTAGTTTTGCTTCATATATTTTGATGATGTTATTAGGTGTGTAAATGTTTATAATTATATCTTCTTGCTGTTTTGAACATTTATTAATATATAATGTCCTTTTTTGTCTCTTGTAAACTTTTTCGATTTAAAGTCTATTTGTTTGATATTGGTATAGCCACCCTACCTCTCTTTTGGTTACTATTTGCATGGAATATCTTTTTCTGTTTTTTCACTTGCAACCTGTTTGTGTCTCTGGATCTAAAGTGAGTCTCTTGTAGACAGCACATAGTTGGATCATTTTTTTAAAATCCATTTTGCCAATCTCTATCTTTTGATTGGAAAGTTTAATCCATTTACATTTAAGGTAGTTGCTGGTAAGGAGAGACTTACTTTTGTCATTTTGCTATGTGTTTTCTAAATGCCTTCTAGCTCTTTTTTTGCTGGGGAAGATTTGCCCTGCACTAACATCCATGCCAATCTTCCTCTATTATTTAGTATATGGGCTGCCAGCACAGTATGGCTGCTAACAGAGTGGTGTAGGTCTGTGGCTGGGAGCCAAATCTGGGTCACTGAAGCAGAGCATGCCAAACTTTACCACTAGGCCACTAGTGCTGGCCCACCTTATAGTTCTTTGTCTCTCATTTCCTGCATTACTGTCTACTTTTGTGTTTAGTTGTTGTTTTTTTTTTTTGGTGGGGAAGATTGGCCCTGAGCTAACAGACATTGCCAATCTTCTTGCTTGAGGAAGATTGTTGCTGAGCTAACATCTGTTCCAGTCTTCCTGTATTTTGTATGTGGGACACTGCCACCATGGCTTGATGAGTGGTGTGTAGGTCCATACCCGGGATCTGAATCCATGAACCCCAGGCCGCCGAAGCAGAGTGCACGAAGTTAACCACTATCCCACTGGGCTGGCCCCTTTAGTTGATTTTTCACAGTGAAATGTTTTAATTCTCTTCTCATTTCCTTTTGTGTATATTCCATAGCTATTTTATTTGTGATTACCATGGGAATTACATTTAACATCCTAAAGTTGTAACACTTGAATTTGAATTTATATCAGGTTAACTTCAATACAAAAACTCTCCTGCTTTATAGCTCCATCTCCACCCCTTTTGGTTGTTGATGTCACAAAATTAAATCTTTATACATTGTGTGCCCCAAAGCATAAACTTTTAATTCTTTTAAATGCATTACTCTCCTAAATTATGTAGAAAATAAGATTTGGAGTTACAAACCAAATTTAAAGTAATACTAGCTTTTACACTATTAATTTTTTTCTTTAAATATATTAGTGTCTTAAATCATGTAGAAAACAAAAAGTGCAGTAACAAACCATTGTCACAATAATACCAGCTTTTATAATTGCCTATATATTTACCTTTATTGAGATCTTTATTTGTTCATATGGCTTCAGGTTACTGTCCAGTGTCCTTTCATTTCACCACAGGATTCTCTTGAGCGTTTCTTGCAGGGCAGGTCTAGTGGTCACAGACTCCTTTGGCTTTTGTTTATCTGGGAATATCTTAATTTCTTCCTCATTTTTGAAGGACTGTTTTTCCGGATAATGGATTCTTGATTGACAGTTCTTTTCTTTTAGTGCTTTAAATATATTGGCCCACTGTTTTCCTGTCTCTAAAGTTTCTGATGAGAAATTTGTTGATAATCTTATTGAGGATTGCTTATATGTGATAATTTGCTTTTCTCTTGCTGGTTTCAAGGTTCTCTCATTGTTTTTGGCTTTTGAAATTTTGATTATAATGCATCTCAATCTGGGTCTCTTTGAGTTCATCTTAGAACTTGTTGAGTTTCTTGGATGTTTATATTCATCAAATTTGGGAAGATTTCAGCCATTATTTCTTCAAATATTCTCTTTGCCCTTTTCTCTCTCTTTCCTCCTTCTGGGACTCCCACAATGCTTATCTTGATCTACTCTCTGCTTGAGCTGGGATATCCATCTTATTCTGCCCTCAGACACTGGCACTCCTGGTTCTCAGGACTTCAGGTTTGGACTGGAACTACACCACCAGCTTTCTTGGCCTTCTGGCTTGTAGGCAGCAAATTGTGGGACTTAGCCTCTATAATCATGTGAGCCAATCCCTCATAATAAATATCTTTTTATATATATTCTATTGATTTTGTTTCTCTGGAGAACCTTGACTAATGCAGGCACTTATTTAGGATGTAAGGTAGGTTATGAATGGGGTCAAGTCAGTGATTCAAGAGACAATCTCTCTTTCTGACACAAACCTTCCATTCCCCTAGGACTTTTGAGGAGGCAGTAAGGAAATTAAAAAAAAAAATATATATATATTTATAACTATTTTTAAAATTTCAACTATAACACATGAAATTCCTCACCTTGACTGGAGCTATAGTTCCATGTGAGATTTTTTTTCTGGGTGCATAGGAACTCAGCTGCACACCTCTTGAGTGTTCAAGACTTTTCCCAAAGTCAAGAAGAAGAAAATATAATGTTTGGGGGGCTGGGTTGGGGCCAGAATATGCATCCTCTGAGGCAAGACAATGCTGGTCACTGCTCTCAGATGACACCCCCTGACAACCATTGTTCTTCCTGAATGGGGCCTGTTTACAACTCTAGCCTACACCAAGCATCAGCTCCTTGGTGAGGGCCCCCAGGGAAATGGTGAGGAAATTCTGATATCAGCTTCCTGGGATTCTGACCTTGACCCAGGACCGTGGACAGTAACTGGGCAACATTTTTCTCCAATAAAAATAGTTTTATTGGTATTTTTCCCAATTATAAATACAATACATGTTTAATGTAAAACATTGAATCAATCACAAAAAAAAAAAAAAATTACTCAAAATCCCAGTGGCCAGAGATAATCTTTGGTTAACATCTGGCAAACATCTTGCATCAAAATGAGAAGAGTGGATTGAAATCTGGCTTTAGAGAAAGAGGTAGAGTCACTCAAAATCTCCCCAAGAAAGTCATTTGGCCACAACAGAAGGACACACGTAGCCCACATAGGGGTCACCCCTGGAACATTGAGAACTGAGGGAAGCACACGGCAGGCCTCCTAAGCCATCACTTACATAAGGTCACCTATCCAAGAGCAGGAGACGTAGCTGACCTACTTAATACATAGACACAAG